GTTATGTGTTAAAATACATGGATTCAAAATATCTAAAATGGCGATGTCGCAAAAAACGGCGAAACCCCGCACGAGGGTAAACATGGTCAAACAGCCTCCAAATGACCCTAACTATCACTCATTGAAATCTTCTATAGATGTACCAAAAACCCTGTATAATTGGTTCGCTGTTCGATTTATATTTCTTAATTTTTTTTAAGTCGTTGGTTTCATATTCTATTATTTTTTTGTTGTTGTTGTATGGTATGAATTTGCCGGCCCTGGATCGTGCCGCCCTGGGCGGCCGCCCATCTCGCCCCCCCCCCCCCCCCTTAAGCCGGCCCTGGCTAAGACACCCGGATTTTTAACTGAGATAACTTAGCTGACCTAAGTTGGCGCGAAGTACGCCTTTTTTGAATTTTGACGTTTAATAATTTCTAAATTGAGGTTGTTTCTTTATTTTTATTTTGTTGAAAGTTGGTCGTTGGAACAGGAACTTTGAAAAGGTGTTTAGTTTAATGAAATTTATTATTCATTATTGCCATTGCACGCGTCATGACACTTCTAGGTAGATAATTGTTCATTTTTAATGTGAAATAAACTGTGCTGTAGTACAAAAACAATTCAGTTTCAATTTCAATTGAAAATAAATTAATAAAAACAACAAACTGAACCTGAAACTCTCGTCGTAACTAGAACCCGAACTAGAAATACGTGACGTGAGTCGTAATTTGACAGGCAGCTGATCAGCCTATATGAATTGCGCGTACGATCAAACAACTTAGCTCAGCTAAGAAACTAACTTTAACTTAGGTAAGAAAAGTGCTTGAACGTAAGCAGCTATTGATACTGAAAATATGACGTTAATGATGCGATTATGTTCGCTTTGGTGTGAGACTTTCTTCGGAATCCGCCATGAAATTCGCTGCGGATTCTCCGTCACGAATCCGCTGCGAATAATTCGCGTTGGTTTGTAGGAGCCTTTTCCCGATAATGTGCAATCCGCGACGCATGTACTTCTATAACCCCACAGTTTATTGCGATGTCTGCCTAAAATTGTTGCCGTTTTTATTTATAATTTGTTGAAAAATTGATAGTTTATGGGTTGCGTTCACATTGAAACGTCCGACAAGGTAACTTACCGGATAAATGACGTTATGGTCGAGTCGTCGGGCGATCGTTAAGCCTGAACGCCCTGCTGAAGCAAGAATAATATACACACTACTAAGGATTGCTTATCGGCCTCGTTTCTGGTACAGTGTTTTAAACCTCTACATACAGTGGCGACAATAGAGGTCCCGCCGCCATTTTGTGCCCAACCTCTTGCTACTTTTAAATATGAATATAAATAGGATTTAAATGGACATCCATCATAAAAAATTGAAAACAACCTATTTGAAGTGCCTTATTATAGTCAACGGATACGTTGTTTTCAATTTTTAGTGATGGATGCCCATTTAAATCCTATATATTCATATTTAAAAGTAACAAGAGGATGAGCAAAAGGTGGCGGCGTTTTCCATGTGAATATATGGGATTTTAAAGAACCAATCAAAAAGAAGACAGCAATTGTCGCCACTGTGCTATTAGAGTCACTGTATTTTCTGGTAATCGCCGCCATATTGGTGTGTCACCATTTCCGACGTCATAACTAAGTCGTCAGCTGTTTGCAGTACAAATAAAATATAAAATATACATCAGGATTTTGGTAAGAAAAAACTAAACAGGAAACAAATCCTGGATAGTACCTACCTAATGGCTTAGTAGGTAAAGGTTTGTCACAAAGAAATCCATAACTTTTGTAAACATCCGGGTTTTCCAATGATAACTTCTTAAAACAAAAACTCCATCTTAAAATACGAAAATTATCCTTCCAAGCACTAGAAAATCATCTAAAAACACCACATAATACACAAAAAACAGTTTTTTGATGAAAAATGTCACGGTTGTTTGAATTAAATTTATGGCGCCAATTTTTTGGCATTGGCCGCCATGTTGTGTGGATTGCCCTATTCCCTAAAATGACAGTCTTCCATGGAGAAATGTCAGTTTAAGGAATATCATCGTCTTCCCCAATGAACGCCTCCCTAAAATAGTTGGTGGAAACCAAGGATGATACACACTACTACTACAGGTTGGCCTATCCTCATAAGGCCTGTGTGTAACAAATCCCCCCCTACCCCCTTAAACAAACAACCAGTTGTGACGTAAGCAGCATGGCGTTTCTCACCTTGACGTAGGCTGTTTAAACAGCTGACGACCTAGTTATGACGTTGGCAATGGTTGAAAACAGTTGAAAATCAATATGGCAGCGATTTCCAAAAACGAGGCCGATAAGCACTTCTTAGTGTGTATTCTCCTTGGGTGCAAACGGCCATCAATGTAGTAAAACGTATGCAACAAAAGCCCGCGGAATCTAACCTGTGATGCAAACAGCCTACGTCAAGCGTCAAGCTGATAAATGACATGCTGCCACGCCACGTCAGAACTGGTGATATGGCGTGGCGGAGAGCTTCAGATTTGTTCCACACAGGCCTTATGAGGATAGGCTATCCTGTAGTAGTAGTGTGTTGCCTTGCTGCTGAAAAACGCCACCAACCTCATCAGGGCCACGTTCATCAGAACAATCTTGAACAGGTAGATGCCATAACCTAGAACTAACTAACAACCTTCATGTTATCATGTTTGCGAACGCGTCCAAGCTGGTACATTTCTTGAGTATATGGGTATGTTCCCTTATCAACTGCCATTACTGGATTTACTGTGCTGATTTAGGGATAACAAACTATCGATAGGAATATCGATACTATCGATATTTTTTAAATTTTCGATAGTATCGATAGAGCTGTAACAATATCGATAGTTCCAAAAGTAGCCAAAGGTAAAGGAAGACATCTGTAAATTGAGGGAAATATAAAGATAGGCCTGTACGCACAGAAATCACAATCCAGTCCAGTCAGAGCGAATTTCATTGGTTGAAACTAGTTTTCTGACTGTTTCTGACTGTTTCCAACCAATTTAATTCGCTCTGACTGGTTTGTGATTGCTGTGCGAACAGGCCTGATATCTGTAGCTGTTTTGAGAAATCTGGGCCGAGATTCTAAAATCACGATTCGACACACGACTCGACAACGATACCGGACTTGTCGTGTCGAAAGGTATAATTCCAATGAGATTTCTAACCTAGAATCGTCGGAAAAATCGTTTCGTTGTCGAGTCGTATGTCGAATCGTGATTTTAGAATCCCCGGCCTGTGATTATTTTTTGGGGGTAGACATGCTGTGGTGCCAATTATTAATTTTTAGGTTAGGAGGAGTGACGAGTGACTTTGATGGAGGTTGAGTAGGCAATCCAATCCATCTGTCAAAACGAAAAATTCAATATGGCGTGGCGGTTAGCAAGTTTGTTTTGAATATGTGTTTTCATGCATATATTTTAATTATTTTGCTTCGGGTTTTACTTGCAGCTTTGATTTTGATTATTCAATAAAATATTTGTTTACTAGGTACGTAAACTATTAAGTCGAGCAGTAACTAGATGTTTTTTTTGTGTTTTTTGGTCCATGTGTGGACGCCACGCCATCTTGAATGTCACGTGGTTTGGATTGCCCAATGATTATTTAAGGTTATGATGTTATTGTTGTCATTTGATAAATTTATTTCGTAATTAATTACAAAATTGGTAACTTTGGTCAGAGCAAACTATCGATAGTACAATCCATAGTTACTATCGATAGGTAAGCCGTTCTATCGATGTCACTATCGATAGTTTTTTTTTAGATAGTTTGTCAACCCTATGCTGATTTTACTGTCATTTGCAGGGATGTGCGTCTACACGTAGACTTTCATTGTCTACTTTACGTGTAGACAATGTAGACAACGTGATTTGTGAGCACCGATGGTCACTCAACGCAACGCTATAGTAAAAAATAAGGTTTACGTTTAAAGATTACGTTAACGTGTTTGGTCCAACTTAAAGTGTCTAATGTGTAGAAAATGCTCACGTAAACAATTCGAATTGTCTACGCGTAGACAATCAATTGTTTACGTTGACATTGTCTACAGGCACATCACTGGTCATTTGCCGTTCCGATTTCAACAGCGTTCTGGTTTTGCTGGAAAAATAGGTACAGTTTGTTTCAGCACTAGCAGCCTGTCCTGTCAACGATCATGACAACAACGAAGAACGTTAACGTTAAATCACAAAAGGAAAGTTCCAAGCTTTTTGGTTACAGTCGATCCAGTAAATATTAATGACGTCACAGACGCATTCAAGACGTCATTCAGTACTGATAATCACTGAAAATAATATCGGAACGGCGTCCAAAAAAGAGTGAATTCAGGAATGCGTTTAGAAATGGAGTGTGAAGTTAGAGTAGTTGTTTGTCAGAGTGTTCTGACGTCATCATTTGGAGTGCACTCTGGGTGCGCTATTTCTGAACGTATTGGGGCGTTGCGGTAAGTGTCAATGTCATGAATCACGTCAAATCCGGTAAAAACCGCGGGGCTTTTTTCCACCCAGTCCCTGAGTGGGGTAATTTGGGCTCACTCTTGGCACGTTAACTCTCGATTTCTGAACGATTCCAGCGTAATGCCTCGAGTAAGCACCCGGGGCGAGTTCAGGAATGACACACCCAGTGTGAGTGTGACACCGGTGCGACGCCCTAGCTGTTCAAAAATGCTAAACGGTGCTATAGGCCCAATGGCCAATTGTCAATTCAGGCACACCCATAAAATCGCACTCGCACCCTGTGCGTTATTTCTGAACTCGGCCCTGGTGGGGAATTCTCATCCTCTAGTCACAACCTATCGTCTATCGTCCGGATTATCCCATTGCCTTTCTACGAGTGAGTCGTGAGGATAGGTTGCGACTAGAGGATGAGAATCCCCCCCTGTTATTTTATGAACGGTTTAGAGTTACTCTAAGGTCGCTCTTACACCCAGAGTGCTATTTCTTAACGCAGCCCAGTTCTGACAGTTGATATCGGAACATAGCCTAAGTCAGTGTTTGACAGTTTATTATTTTTATTATTTTATTTTTGAGCAGTGAGTGGAGGAGGTGGAGACTCTAGAGATAATCGTGTTCTGTTGGCTATTGCTTATTTGCTCACTTCTTAGTTTCTTTAAGAAAAATAAAATAGGAATAAAACATCAGTAATTAGAATGTTAGGTGCATAAAAAACAAGAAATACATAAATTTCTTACTATTCCCATTTTGGTAGAAACAAAAGCAGTCATCACAATCAACAATGTCAGATTCAGACGATGATTACATGTCTTTCAAAGTGCTAATGGATTGGTAATAAACAAAAAGGTTTCTTATACTTTTTACACTAATCTAATTATTATTTCAGTCAAGAAGATGTACGCCCCAGCCTCTTGGTGAATAAAGAAAAACGCAAGCTCGAAATCTATAAAAAGAAATTGGAAACTAGTAACAAACGTCAAAAAACTTTGGGAGAATTAGAAAGGGAAAACCGAGAAATAGGACTCAGCACAGCTATTTCCAATGAAAACAAAGGTTTCCGAATGTTGGAGAAAATGGGCTTCATGCCTGGAGACACTCTTGGCAAATCGAGACCTGGCATCAAGGAACCTATTGATATTGTTTTGAAACAAGGAACTTCTGGAGTAGGCAGGGAATCTCACATCAAAGAAGTACAAGCTAGGAAACAGCAGTACAGAGTTAAAAATCTCAAGCACTACGAAATGCAATTTCGAGTTGCCAATAAGGAAAGGAAAAACTTTGCACAAATACGCAAAGATTTCTTTAAGGCTCAAAAAATTTGTGAGGAATTAGATTTCAGAAGCGTAAGTTGATCCTTTTTTTTTAAATAACCAATTCTGTGTTTCCCAGCAAAAATCTCAGATATGTTGAGCAGGAGGGTCCACACTGACTTACTATATAACACTGCTATACAGGGTGTCCGTTTTTCGAGGGCAACCATTGGGATACAGGAAACGGTAAGATTTACAGGTTTGGTTAAATTGGAGCAAAGTTGCACAATTTCTTGCTTAACAAAACGAAACTTCAAAATTTGGAATATTCTGACCAAATCCTTCCGGAGATATATGGAAAAAACCAACATTTTGCAAAATCGTTTTTATTTTTTCCTGGGCTCATTTGTAAAGGTATTTCAGAATAAACTTCACTTTATCAGGGCAACTTCCCTCTCTCCCAAATTAGAAATCCTATGTTTCGGCTTGTTATCTTCAACTTTATTTTTTTTAAAACAGGTTTGCATTTTTTAAAATTTTATTCGGAGGTTTTTGATCCCCTTATATTATTTGCCCATTGATAAATATTTTTTTTAATGAAAAATAACATGTTGAATGAACCATCTACCTATCTCTTTCCAATGCACTATTTTCACTATATCCGGAAGTATTCAGAATATTTCAAATTTCAAAGAGGTTTTTTGTTAGGCAAGAAATTGCGCAACTTTCCCCTAATTTAACCGAACCTGTATCTCTTACTGCTTTCTATATCCCAATTGTGGCCTTCATAAAACGGACACCCTGTAAAGCCAAGTTATATTATATTATGTTACAGATTTTTTAATGAAATATATCAAACTTCCATGCTATACAGAGTGTCCCACCGAAAACCAAATCAATCTATAGGTATATGAAAAACTGTATGCAGAACATTTTTGAAAATTTGACAGGATACAATGGGGGCAACCCGGATAAAATATTTTCAAGATTGGGGCACTTCCGGTTATGCCGGAAGTAGATGTCAACTTACTTATTTTAACTGAGATACCGTGTATGTTATTGCATGTTTGGATTCCACGTAAAATTCTGTGGCGATTTCATGTGATATACCCTCGAGTTGACAGTTGAAAATTTTTACTTTTTTGCAACTTTGACAGGCTGTAAGACCTAAACGGTTAATTTTAGAGGAAAACCGATCTCACATTCTTGCCTTAGATTTTTATAAACTATCATTTGACACCAACTTTGAATTTCATCCATGATTGAAAATTCCAATTAAATTTAATATCCCGTTTACATAGAATCCATTTATGCAATCACATACAGGGTGTCCCATTTAAAATAAGCAAGTTGACGCCTACTTCCAGTATAACTGGAAGTGCCATCATCTTGAAAATAATTTATTTGGGTTGGCCCCTCTGACATTGGTATACTATCAAATTTTCAAAAATTTTCTGAAAACAGTTTTTCATATATAGATTGATCTGATTCCCGGTGGGATACCCTGTATAGCTTGCTACATACTATCTGTCTTCTGTCGGTAAAAATCAAAAAGAAATCGTGCAACATTGTTATTGTAGCATATAGCTACACATCTAGACTTGCGATATGCTGTTTTTAATAAAACGCCTGATTCACACGGTCCATGTGCACTTCAATTTCAAATAAGCTTTATTGTCCAAAAATGTCACAATTTCATTGACAAAGCCAAAAGGAATGTCTTATAGTTAATATTTAAAATTAATGCAATATCCAATAATTCAAACTGAACAAATACAAGACAAGAACAGTAAGACAGTTTAAAACACATTACAATATTCACATTACCTGACATTATTTATAAAGTATAACACTATAGCTACCACATTCAATCTTCATAAAATTCAGTAAGACCTCGGGTGAGTGTTAGAATTTAGATCATCTGACAGCTTTCCTGCAATTTTGGTGTAGAAAGTATTGAGTTTGTCAGGCTCAACATCAAGAAAACTTATGGATTTTTCTTTTTTTCCTCTAAATTTGTTACTCAATTTCCAGTATTCTCCGCTTTTGTTCTCTGCCTTGTTGATTCGCCTCCTGTAGTGGATTTTTTTTGCCTCAATAATAACCTGTGTATATATGGTTCTGTACTTATTGAAGTACTGTATGAAAGCCTGACAGTCGGTGAACTTTCTCAGAGTATGCAGACACCTTGAGTTTTTTGAAGAGACCTTGATACCTTTAGCAACCCATATTTTTTTTTTGTTTTGGCTTTTATTTTTCGCAAAGGAAAGCTCTTATTAAGAATTCTCGTAGCACATACCTGAAAACTTTATTGGATCCTGTGTATTCAAACACTGGCTCCAGTTTACATGGTTTGCCAAACTCCTGAAGGTATCAAAGTTTCTTTTGCTGTATATTCTGCATTTTACCAAAGCTTTTTTGGGTACTTCACCAAACAACGTTAATTCTGCCGCCAAGGCTTCATGGTCTGAAAGTCCTGAGGGTATAACTTTACAATTTAAATCCCCAAAATCGAAGTTACCGCACATATAATCAATCGTTTTTTCTGAATGACTGGTGATGCGTGTTGGTTCGTTCACGAATACTTTTAAATTAAATAAGTGTAATAGACTTATCAAAGCTTTGGTATGTCTTGATTCCGCATAATTCCAGTCGATATTAAGATCGCCTGCAAGAATTATCTTTGATGAAAGTGAGAATTTTAGTAAAAGACCATCGAGATTTTTCAAAAACATTGCTGGGTTTCCAGATAGAGGCCTGTATGCGCATATTATGTAAATATTAAGTTTTTTTACAAAAATCATTGAAAACTTAAATTAGTTACCTATAATTAAATCATTGTATGTGTCAATGCACCCGATCTTGTGTGTCATTGAAAAGCTGTTGTGACGAAGGATTTCTGTGCCTCCATAACCATTCGCCCTGCAGTATTTGAAAATCATTTTGTAGTCCGGAACGTAGCACAATTCCTCACCAGTCAACCAGTGTTCCGTTAAAAGGACAAATGTAGGCATATTTAAATTTTCAATTAAGACATAGAGATCATTTGTTTCGTTTCGTACTGATTGTATGTTGAGTGAAAATGAAGTAATTTTAATTTGTTTTGAATCTAGAGCCCCATCTTTGCCCTCCTTCACAGAAACACTGTCATTAATTAAATTAACCTAAAAAAGACGTTGAAATCGTGTTGCTTTCACTGATACCACTGAATTCGAGTATACGATCATCAACTTGTGTAGCTATTTTAATTTTTGCAATTTTTTAGGACTAAAGAATTATTCAAAATGAAGAATTTGAATTTAGAAAAGAATTTAAATTCAGAAATAACTTGAAAACGTTATTCAGTCTTTCAAATAACAAAATATTGATTTTGTCTAAAGTCCGTTGAGTACCGTTCTGTTGCCCCATAGTGGTAGTGAAAATAAAATTGAGTTAGTTTGTGAACCAATCGTAGATGAAACATCAAATATCTTCATGTCAATTTCACTCCCGCGACATGCATTTTCTAAAGCACCAGATATAATAACAAAATCTTTTCTTGAGAAATATTTTGTCAAAACGCGAATATTTTTTATAATGACTTTCAAACTTGCGTTGTGCTTAACAATGGTAGGTATGTTGTAATTTTCCTTTTCGTGAACTTTTAGGAATTTATAGAGATCAACAACTGTACTATCACCTATTATAAGCACTTGATGCTGTTTGTGGATTTCTGTAGATGTTTTGATGCACTTTGTTGGGGTCAGATTGTCGGCAGTTTACCATTTTCAATTCTTTGACCTTTGCCATCATGTATAAGTCCGTTTCCACTTCAAGAACCTTGACCGATGTCCTAAGTTTACTATTGGCTCCCTTTATTTCATTTAACATTTCCTGTTCTGTTCTTTGTTGGTTTTCGCAATCTGAAAGCTTTCTTTCAAAGATGGCATTAGCATTTTTCAGGTGTTTTATTTCCTCTTCCATTTCAAGCGCTGTTCCAATAATGGTTGAGGCTACAATGTCGGTTTGTGTAATATTATCAATCAAGCATCCTGCGGTTTCACTGGTTTTGGTTTTGGTTTCTGGTTTGGCTTTTAAATCCTTTATTTTTGATTTTAGTTCTCGAATCATACTCTCACGCTCTTTATTTTTCGCTTCCAGTTGTGCAGTCGTGCACATCTCACAGAAATAGCCTATCTTTCGAGATATTAGTTCCAGAAACCTAACTTCGGAAGCACCACAACCTCCATAACCCCTGCAGGTGGTCATGTGACAGTGGTCGCATGCACATCCAAAACCAAAAAAACATCACACATAAAGACGCAATGTGTGTGTAATCTGCTTGTTGAAGATTTTGATGTTGTACTATTGACAGAAACATTTCTGGATTTTGATATTTTAACAAGTGAGATAGGTTTGGATGGTTATCAAGTCTATAGGTGTGACAGATCAACAAAAAATAGCGCCTGTAAGACTCAGGGTGGAGTACTGATAGCAGTCAAAAGCTGTTTGTCCTCAAAAATTTTGATGACACCTATTGAAAGTGTTGTCAGTCACCATAGAGAGCCAAAAAATTCTTGTGGGAAATGCTTATATCCCAGGAACATCAACAGGTGATATTTATGAGAGCTTTTGTTTTTCTCTAATCCATCTACTTGAGAGTCAGAATTTTACCGATATTTTTATCTGGGGTGACTTTAATTTACCCAATATAACATGGGAAACAACAGTAGATGGATCTATGCCTGTTGGTCCTCTATCCAAGCAAGTAATTACTGTGGGAGTTTGTGTGGCTTATTTGGGCCTATAGTGATAGATATTCCTAATGTTTTTGGAAATTACTTGGATCTCCTGTTTTGTAAAAGTTGTGATATTAAACTATCTGTGTGCAATAATCCCTTACTCAAGCTGGACTTACCACACCCAGCGTTTGAATGCAATTTTTTATTGACCAAAGAGCCCCCAAACCTTTCTTGTGACAATTTCTATTTAAATTTTAAACGTGCTGATTTCAGCGAAATAAATTTTTTTCTTTCCTGTACTGTCTGGGATTCAATTTTTGAGTGCACAGATGTGAATACTGTGGTTTCTAAGTTTTATAGCGTACTCTACGA